AAGATAGATGGAAGTGGCGGCATGTCTGGGTGGAACATGACTATACAAGGTACCCTTTGTGTTTGGGGTCTGACTTTGTATACAAGCAGACATACCCTGTCCAGTACCCTCACTTTGTCTATTTCCCGATCTATCAAAGTAGAAATGTATCCTCTGCCAAGAAGATAGGACTTTAACTCTGAACATCTGCGTTCACAGATGATGTCATCCGAAATAATACGCCTGATGCGCAGAGCTTGCGAGTAGGGTATGCTTCTCGTGGTGTGCGAGGGGTGACAACTGGATGGGAGGAGACACTGGTGTGTGTCAGTAGGTTTACAGTGGAGGTCCATACTAATCTTACCATCAATCAAAGTGGAACTGGTGTCCAAAAATGTGTTGCTCTCCGTGGAAATATCCGCTTTGATATTGATGGTGGCGTGGATATATATATATACTGGGGAACCCGAACTCTAGATATATTTTTTTTCCCAATATTTTGTTCCCCCCCCCCCCCCCGCCATTTTTTTCATAAATATGTATATACATATATTGCTTCCAAGCAAAGAGATATATATGCATATAGAGATATTTTGATAGGGGCTGCCAGGGCTGGGGAGCCCTGGAGTCAGTCCCTGAACAATATGGTGTCCTCACGCAGGAAGGTTCTCATTCAACATTCATCAGTCATTCTCTTTTCCATTTAGTTTATTTGTATTGAGTATGAAAAATTCCATATACAACATAATAGTACAAACAAAGATAAGCTGGGTCAATAAAAGAGCGTAGCTTTCGGGCGCCGAAGGCGACCGAGCGAAGCTCTTTAATGGTAACACATGCGTGCGTAAACAGAGTTGCTTCCCCTTTCTACACATTGCCTTTAAAAAAATCATCCTGAAGTAGACGGTTAGGGGGGAAACAGAAAGTGTATCCTTGAAGCAAAGACAATTATGTTTCAACCCATACATGAACATCTTCATATAGTGAAAACAATACCCATATTTTATTATTTATTTATTTAGGTAAAAACTAATATATACATTCTGGATGAAAAAAAAATCTATCACATACATTTTGATAATAGCAGGCATGAAACGTCATACTATGACGTCACCAGCACGTCACACTCCATCGGCCTTCTTCGGTTATTTCCGGAAGGTTGAAAAATAATCGGAAAATCTTGGAACTGATATCCGGTGCATTTATCTCTATGTTGGTGCTGCATGACTTTTTAATTTCAGTTTTTGCCACAGACACAAAAAGTAAAAACGCGGATGTTTTCTGAAAATCCTTTTTGTCATCAACCATGTTCTGTTAAAATTTCTACCGGGAGATATTTTCAAAAAGAGCCGCATTAAATCAATAGGTCAACGTGTGCATTTATTTTTCATCGTCTAAAATTTCATCAGCTTTTTTATTTCGATTTGTTGAGAATATGAACGAAATAATTAACATTTTTGACAGTCTGGTTATTGTCTTTACATAATGTATGTTTGCATCACCACTCATAAAAGAAACAATGGAAAATTCATTTATGTCGAAATCAACAATAAATGTCCAGAAAACGAACCCGAGTTCAACGCCATTTTTCAGCAACGTATCACTTTTTCACAACGCATGCCGATTTATAACTAGTAACGACAAAAACTGTTTAATTTTATTTGGCATCATTACCTGTCAAACCTCAGTGACAGTTACACAACTTGAAATTCAATCTGGTGTTTCAGGATGGAACAGGAATTCAGACTATATATCGATATAACGACCTTTTCAGTTACATCAAGTATTACAATGTTTTCTTTTTTTAATTTTCTTTTTTTTAACTAAACAATGTTTTCTTTTTTTAATTTAATTTTTTAACTAACATCTCTACACATTTACTTTTATAGACTTATCGTCAAGTATGTAATATGCACTTTTTTCTAAAGCAATTACAAAACAGTTTTTCCCCAACTTATTTCAATCATTCTTTTTGTGACCTGACGGAAGCACACAGAGGTTTTAATTCTTAATGTGGAAGGAAGCCGGAGTATCCGGAGAAAACCCGCGTGGTCGGGCAGGTAACCGGGATTGAATCTGACCATCTTGGTGAAGACGAGCGCGCTATCCACTGCGCCGACCGACCCATCATATACGTTACGCACAAGAACAAATATCTACTTTAGCTTTGAAAATGGCGTCACTGATGCAATTTTTTTTTTATTGCGAATACATTTTTAACAATCATCAACGATATACAAAATCTACATACGGGAGACCGGGGCAAGTTCTGCCACCCCTGATATTTTTGTTTTTGAGCTATTATTTACAACTTTAAAGATATTAGCAGTTTAGTTGGCTGGGCATTCACACGAAAAAATAGCGAGGAAAACTCTAATTTAAAATTGCTAAACAGGAGAAAACTGCTTTTGAGAGGGTAGAAAGAAAATCATGATCTCGCTGCTAGCTATGCGAACTTTCTGTAAACGGAATAGCTATTCTTTAACGGTCAAACGTGTAACACACTGACAGCTTCAAATGATATACGTAAAAGCCAAGCCAAGCACTCACTACCATTTTGCTGTACAATAAGAATTTATTGAAATATCAATTTGGACCCGGACAGTTTCGGCCAATGATACCCTGGCAAGTTCGGCCCATGTTACACATAAAAAGTCGTAAAATTGGCGGTAAAATCTGACGTTGCATGCTTTACAACGTCATAATTAAGCTGATTCCAATGGGGCCGAATTTACCCGAATGCCTGTCCGAACTTATCCCATGGCTGGGCTCGTTCGGTCATCCGATCATCCGTCAGGGAAAATTAAATAATGTTCGAAAACCGACGTGCTGCCATACTTCCCAAAACGGACTTTAAAAACAGGGCCGAATTTGCCCCGATCCCCCTTATTGTTATGCCAGTCTTAAGTTCATTAGAGTTAATGTTTTATTGTTATCCCTCGACTAGCCGACTTTAAATAAATTTTATCTTATCTCATTCTGAAAGCAGTATAATCTCATTCTGAATCAGTAAATATAAGAGATCAATAAAAGCTTCGCTCTTTTAAGGCTTTGCCTTTTCATATTAAACTTAGCACCTGTATACACAAAACAAACCATAATACTCATGTAAATACATCTGCATCTATACTCATAAACGCATACATATATACACTGAGACAGAAATAAAGACAGACAGACAGACAGTCGGACATTGAGACAGACTTACATACATTGAATCAGACAGACAGATGCATCATAATTTCGAGCAGTTAAGAAACAATAATAAATTCACTGTGCAAACAAATAGGCATGACACCATGACACCATGACACCGTGACACCAACACCATGACACCGTGACACCATGACACCATGACACCATGACACCGTGACACCATGACACCATGACACCATGACACCATGACACCATGACACCATGACACCATGACACCGTGACACCATGACACCGTGACACCATGACACCGTGACACCATGACACCGTGACACCATGACACCGTGACACCATGACACCGTGACACCATGACACCGTGACACCATGACACCGTGACACCATGACACCGTGACACCATGACACCGTGACACCATGACACCGTGACACCATGACACCGTGACACCGTGACACAATGACACCATGACACCATGACACCGTGACATCGTGACACCATGACACCGTGACACCATGACACCGTGACACCATGACACCGTGACACCATGACATCGTGACACCATGACACCATGACACCGTGACACCGTGACGCCGTGACATCGTGACACCATAACACCGTGACACCATGACACCATGACACCATGACACCGTGACACCGTGACACCATGACACCGTGACACCATGACACCGTGACACCATGACACCGTGACACCATGACACCATGACACCGTGACACCATGACACCATGACACCATGACACCGTGACATCGTGACACCATGACACCGTGACACCATGACACCGTGACACCATGACACCATGACACCATGACACCGTGACACCATGACATCGTGACACCATGACACCGTGACACCGTGACACCGTGACGCCGTGACATCGTGACACCATGACACCGTGACACCATGACACCATGACACCGTGACACCATGACACCATGACACCGTGACACCATGACATCGTGACACCATGACACCGTGACACCGTGACACCGTGACGCCGTGACATCGTGACACCATGACACCATGACACCGTGACACCATGACACCGAACTCTTGATGTTACCCACCATGCGTTTTTTCATTCTACAAACTGACACTATTAATGATATTACTTTTTAAAAGCGTTTGCAACACACATGGAAGCACGTTTTTAAATGACCATAGCTTTTACTAGGACTTTAAACAAAATAAAACGAAATCAAACCCCTCTTTAATATATACAAAGAAAGGCACACGGGTCGCAAATAGATTGCTAGATGGCCAAAAGGATAGTGGACATACATTTTGATGACACAAACGTTTTGTTGAAACACATTTATCACAATTAAAACAATACACGTGCATCAATTATGAAGTTTAATAAGGAAACATGTTGGTTTCATGTGTTGACATGTTGTATGCTTTAGGTATGTGGCTTAATTAGTTAATATACTGTCGCAAGGTAAACAATGGAGCATGTTTACGTGTGATCAATTGCAATTTCATTACACATCCGGGTTATTCGTGAATAGAAAAAATACTGCATATTGTCCATCAAATATATATTTTTAAAAACACTGAGATAAAGCTTTATTCAAATCCCATCTCACTGAAGCGAACAATTGTTCTAAAATCGATGTGTAGGACGTTGGATTCATGAGGGTGGATAACCGTTTACATTGTATTTCTTGACCTGGGGATGATTTCACGATCAACAAATATACTATTACAGCGAACATCAACAATAGCCTGACAAGCTAAACATGTCAGTGATGGAATTTAAGACAAAGATGACTGATACAAACCAATACAACCCGTACTGCACGTGTCACATGACGGGCAGGTAGAGGGTGCAGTCACAGTGCGCTTACCGAGTACAGCGCCAGTATATAGAGACAACCTGTTCTCTCAGCTTGTATGAGAATGTGTCTTTGCATGTTACAAAGACTTCTTTATGTTATGTTTTCGTTTTAATAGCGTCGCCATGGTAATATGGTCATGTAATCTTCGTTGAGTGTAATGGTTTGCCCACTATCAGTCATATTGAGTTTCTGTGTACAGGTAGGCAGCACACTTGCCTCGCCACCAGACCAAGCCGACATTACTCTGTGATGGAACTGTTAGTAGTCTGCCACTGTGTGTATCGTGTTGACGGGATCTAACCTGTGATAAAGGTGAGAGATTGATTTTCATTGTTTGTCTTTAATATTTGATGATTGTTGCCCGTAGATTGTTTGGACTGATCTAGATCTCGTGATTTTAAGTAAATAGAGGTTCGAATACCAGGACTGGTCTGCGTCAAGCATACCAACCAGAATTGTTGACAGGTTGTAGGACATCTAACGCACACTGGTCTATAGGGGACTATCAAAGTGACGGTATATTGAGTGGCGCAATAAGGAGCACATGCTATTGTAATGCAATTGATTAGCAAATGTGTAACCAATGGAGCCATTAGCTCCCTTTCATTTCATTTAAATTGTAAAGGAGTCATCGATGTTGTGATTGTGTTAATCATTGGTTTCGTCCTCATTTCATTTGAATTGTGTTGATACTCGCCTTCATCCTCATTTCCTTTTAGTATGTTGATCATCGCTTGCATCCTCATTTCATTTTAATTGTGTTGATCATCGCCTTCGTCCTCGTTTCGTGTACATTGTGTTAATCATCGCCTTCATCCTCATTTCATTTTATTTTGTTGATCATCGCCTTCATCCTCATTTCATTTTATTTGTTGATCATCGCCTTCATTCTCGTTTCAATTTATATTTTATATAACTGCCCGCTGACACGTGTCAGAGTATATGACTGACATATGTTGTTATCTAGAGATAGTAGATCATTGTAAAGGTGTTTATCAGCTGCTCGCTACCACGTGTCAGAGTATAGGTCTGACATTTGTTGTTATCTAGAGATAGTGGATCATTGGTAAGGTATGTTTATCAACTGCTCGCTGACACGTGTCAGAGTATAGGTCTGACATATGTTGTTATCTAGAGATAGCGGATCATTGTTTAGGTATGTTTATCAAGTGCTAGCTGACACGTGTCAGAGTATATGATTGACATTTGTTGTTATCTAGAGATAGTGAATCATTGTTAAGGTATGTTTATCAACTGCTCGCTGATACGTGTCAGAGTATATGACTGACATTTGTTGTTATCTAGAGATAGTAGATCATTGTAAAGGTACGTTTATCAACTGCTCGCTGATACGTGTCAGAGTATAGGTCTGGCATATGTTGTTATCTCGAGATAGTGGATCACTGTAAAGGTACGTTTATCGACTGCTTGCTGACACGTGTCAGAGTATATGACTGACATGTGTTGTTATCTAGAGATAGTGGATCATTGTAAAGGTATGTTTATCAGCTGTTCGCTGACACGTGTCAGAGTATAGGTCTGACATATGTTGTTACTAGAGATAGTGAATCATAGTAAAGGTATGTTTATCAACTGGTCTCTGACACGTGTCAGAGTATAGGTCTGACATATGTTGTTATCTAGAGATAATGGATCACTGTAAAGGTACGTTTATCAACTGCCCGACGACACGTGTCAGAGTATAGGTCTGACATATGTTGGTATTTAGAGATACTGACACGTGTCAGAGTATAAGTCTGACATATGTTGTTATCTAGAGATAGCGGATCATTGTTAAGGTATGTTTATTAACTGCTCTCTGACACGTGTCAGAATATAGGTCTGACATATGTTGTTACTAGAGATAGTGGATCATTGTTTAGGTATGTTTATCAGCTGCTCGCTGACACGTGTCAGAGGATAGGTCTGACATATGTTGTAATCTAGAGATAGTGGATCAGTGGAAAAGTACATTTATCAACTGCTCGCTGACACGTGTCAGAGTATAGGTCTGACATTTGTTGTTATCTTGAGATAGAGGATCATTGTATAGGTATGTTTATCAGCTGCTCGCTGACACGTGGCAGAGTATAGGTCTGACATAGTTGTTATCTAGAGATAGTGGTTCATTGTTAAAGTACGTTTATTAACTGCGCGCTGACACGTGTCGGAGTATAGGTCTGACATATTGTTATCTCGAGATAGTGGATCCCTGCAAAGGTACGCTTATCAACTGCCCGCTGACATGTGTCAGAGTATATGACTGACATGTGTTGTTATCTAGAGATAATGGATCATTGTTAAGGTATGTTTATAAAATGCTCGCTGACACGTGTCAGAGGATAGGTCTGACATATGTTGTTTTCTTGAGATAGTGGAACATTGTAAAGAAACTCGTTAATCAACTGCCCGCTGACCCGTGTCAGAGTATATGACTGACATATGTTGTTATCCAGAAATAGTGGATCATTGTAAAGGTACGTTTATCAGGTATGTTTATCAGCTGCACGCTGACACGTGTCAGAGTCTAGGTCTGACATATGTTGTTAACTAGAGATAGTGGATCATTGTATAGGGATGTTTATCAGCTGCTCGCCGACACGTGTCAGAGGATAGGTCTGACATATTGTTATCTCGAGATAGTGGATCATTGTTAAGGTACGTTTATTAACTGCGCGGGGACACGTGTCAGAGTATAGGTCTTGCATATGTTGTTATCTCGAGATAGTGGATCCCTGCAAAGGTACGCTTATCAACTGCCCGCTGACATGTGTCAGAGTATATGACTGACATATGTTGTTATCCAGAAATAGTGGATCATTGTATAGGTATGTGTGTCAGCTTCTCGCTGACACGTGTCAGAGAATATGTCTTACATATATTGTTATCGAGAGATAGTGGATCATTGTATAGGTATGTGTATCAGCTGCTCGCTGACACGTATCAGAGTATAGGTCTGACACATGTTGGTATTTAGAGATAGTGGATTATTGTTAAGGTATGTTTATAAACTGTAAAGGTATGTTTATCAGCTGCTCGATGACACGTGTCAGAGTATATGACTGACATATGATGTTATCTAGAAATAGTGGATCATTGTATAGGTATGTGTGTCAGCTTCTCGCTGACACGTGTCAGAGGATAGGTCTGACATATGTTGTTTTCTTGAGATAGTGGAACATTGTAAAGATACACGTTTATCAGCTGCTCGCTGACACGGGTCAGAGTATAGGTCTGGCATATGTTGGTTTTTTGAGATAGTGGATTATTGTTAAGGTATGTTTATAAGCTGCTCGCTGACACGTGTAAGAGTATAGGTCTGACATAGTTGTTTTCTAGAGATAGTGGATCATTGTATAGGGATGTTTATCAGCTGCTCGCCGACACGTGTCAGAGTATAGATCTGACATATGTTGTTTTCTTGAGATAGTGGAACATTGTAAAGATACACGTTTATCAACTGCCCGCTGACATGTGTCAGAGTATATGACTGACATATGTTGTTATCCAGAAATAGTGGATCATTGTATAGGGATGTTTATCAGCTGCTCGCTGACGCGTGTCAGAGTATAGGTCTAACATATGTTGTTATCTAGAGATATTTGATCATTGTATAGGTATGTTTATCAGCTGCTCGCCGACACGTGTCAGAGGATAGGGCTGACATATGTTGTTATCTAAAGATAGTGGATCATTGTAAAGGTACGTTTATCAGGTATGTTTATCAGCTGCTCGATGACACGTGTCAGAGTATAGATCTGACATATGTTGTTTTCTTGAGATAGTGGAACATTGTAAAGATACACGTTTATCAACTGCCCGCTGACATGTGTCAGAGTATATGACTGACATGTGTTGTTATCTAGAGATAATGGATCATTGTTAAGGTATGTTTATTAGCTGCTCGCTGACACGTGTAAGAGTATAGGTCTGACATATGTTGGTATTTAGAGATAGTGGATTATTGTTAAGGTATGTTTATAAACTGCTCGCTGACACGTGTCAGAGTATAGGTCTGACATAGTTGTTATCTAGAGATAGTGGATCATTGTAAAGGTATGTTTATCAGCTGCTCGCTGACACGTGTCAGAGTATAGGTCTGGCATATGTTGTTATCTCGAGATAGGGGATCATTGTAAAGGTACGTTTATCAACTGCTCGCTGACACGTGTCAGACTATAGGTCTGACATATGTTGTTATCTCGAGATAGTGGTTCACTGTAAAGGTACGTTTATCAACTGCTCGCTTACACGTGTCAGAGTATATGACTGACATTTATTGTTATCTAGAGATAATGGATCATTGTTAAGGTATGTTTATAACCTGCCCGCTAAGGCGTGTCAGAGTATTTATAGGACTGCCATTTGCTTTTATCTGGAGATAGTGAACATAATGTATGTCTCTTAGTTAACTTTAACTCGTCGTTAATTCGTAATAATTTATATTACTCATTTCACCTATGGTCGCTAAATTTGATATTACATCTTTTACCAAATAGATTTTTATCATAAATTTACCAGTTAAAAATATTTTGAGTGATTCTACTCATGATTCATTATGATTTTCACGCTTCACTTTTCCCGGTGATTTTTTTTGTCGAGGATTTCACGCACTCAGTGTTATTGTCCAATGATGCTGTCATTATAATTGCTGCGTTTAGCAAACACTAGCAAAGGGTATAACCGTTTCTAAAATTTTATTATTTAACACATTTTTGTTCAATTTTGATCTCATATATGCAACTGTTTTGTGTTCCCTGTCTTATGTCTAAGTAAAGGAGCCAATCTCTCCATGTGATTGACAACGTTATTATCGTCTAGTCTGTTATAAGTACTGCTTTGTCATACATGCATCTACAGTGTACATGTACCTAGTTTAAACAATTCGTATCCTACAAACTTACATTTGTTTGATCGGGGTTTAATATCCTGGCAACAGCCAGGGTCAAATGAGGACAGTACCTAGGGAGATACCATCTGAAAGAGAAAGCAGAAAGAACAAAAAGACAGAAAAAATATTAAACATAAATGATCCCAAGTGTTGCAAAGGGGGAGGGAGAGATCAATGTTCTATGTCTCCTAAGTAGAAGATCCCTGCAGGGGTCGCCAGTTTAGTCGCCTTTTACGATACACATGCAATCGAATACTGCAGGTCTTTTCTTTGTTCCTTCAATGTTTCCTTAACAAAAGACAAGGAAGAAAGCATCCCCAATCCTGCAGGGGCCCTACATAAGTCGCCTCCTCCCATCATGCAGTTAGGTACTCCAGGCATACACTTTCCCCGAACCTGCAAGATTTATGTACGTTCGTAA